ACTCAAAAGATGAACAAGTATGAACATTTTATCACAGATATAACAACTAGGGATGTGTCTGTTCATCCTTTTGAAATCGACTCAAGAGGATATATCTCACCATCAAATAAGGCGATTCTAAAGAAACTGCATAAGTTCTGCAAACCCAGTGCTAGTTTCAAATCAATGTGTGAAAATCTATCAAGCCTTGCAGTACTGTCATCATACCACATTTTTAGAAAAACGAAAAACACTTGACTGGGACCAAGAAACCTCTTTTCTGAAAACCACCTCTGAATAGCTAAACTATACTCATGCTAAAAGTCTAGTATTGCACCTGTTTTTTGGCAAACCCTGCCAATTATAAAATGCGATATGAGAGAAAAGAGTATTAGTTTTATATTGTTTAATGTAATTTTGCTTTAGACAAATATAAATGATGAATATACTTCCGTCTTTGCATGTATCTATTATTCAAGATTCATTTCAACAATACTTTAGTTTCAATGTCAATCCAGACACAACTTTATCTGTATCAGTTCCCAAATTATATCTTTCAATAAAAGGGATTCAGGAAGCTTCTTGTTTGCTAACCAAGAAGTAATTACTCTCACATTGTAATCAAAGCTGAGTCTATTCCAACTAAATGTCTTTTGGGTTCTATCTCACAAGTTCAATTAATCAATTTAATTACAAGTTTTATGATGTTCTTTATTTTATTAAAAATGTCTGCAGCCTCATAGAGGCCACAATTACCCACCCTTCAGGCAATCCCGTTTGTATACAATTGCATACGGTTAGGATTGGCTGTTAGCATGACATTGTGCAATGATATAAGTCCAAGCGGGTGGAAGTACACACTCCCAATGGCCTTATGTGCTCATTATTGAAAATCCTAGCCTTAGATGTGTGTGAAGTACGGGAATTAAACCCTGAAAACCAATCTAGTTACTGGCTGTGGACAAGTGTGCTTAACTTCAGTGAGCTAATAAGAACTGAGCTGAAAACTTTAGAATGATGGACATCAAGATTAATGCCTCCTGGTTTTACTAAACCGACGATTATTTTAATATGCATTCAATATAGTAGAAAGAAGTATTAAATTCAACCAATCAGCTATCATGTTAAAATGTACCCTTTAACTTTTGAAAAACCGGTTTGGATTTCTGGTGTTGACGGTGTCATTCATATCAATTGAACTAAACATCGATTGAACAAACGTAAGTTTTGAATTAATGTTTATTAATACTAACGTTCAAAATGACAATAGTCCTAAAATATGTTTTTAATAATTTTATATTAACATGATTAATTTTATGTTTGTTTTAATGCTCTAAAAGCTGGCTTGTGAACAGCTGACTTTAATTACTCGGATATTAGTCCAATTGATATAGCATTTTATCTGTAATTGTTATCAAACGTAACTTTTATACAGTAGAAATATCCAAAAAGAGGATTACAAGAAGAAAATCTAAAGTTTTTACATTTGATAATCAGATAAAGTGATCGTGAATAAGAATATCTGATTCTGAAGTTTTCAGCTCTGGTGTCGCACACTACCCACCCCACCCCACTATATACTCATGTAGTTAAGCTAATCACAATACAGAGGTTGAAGTAGTTATTTACAGACGTAGCTAGGTTAGGTTAATCGCAATACAAGTTTTGCGTAGTTACTTATGAGCACATTCAGATTTACAGACTATGTACAAAGTAATATATCTAGGTATATTAAGGTTAACAAATATAGTGTTACACTACAGTTTTTGTTTAAGCAAAGTCTCTCAACATTATTATTTACACAAATGTAAAAAACTCCATTGCAAAAAACGCCAAAAAACTATGCCCAGATTTATTTCCAGACATTGAAAAATGATTTGTAAAAATATATTTAATAAATCTATCTTTAATTTCTCGAATCAAATCGACGATACATCTAGCTATAAAAATATAGCTCATATATATTTGTAAAACTGATTTTTCATGCATAAACAAAGTTATTAATATATGTAAATGTTGTTAAAACTATAATCCTAGAAAAATAAAAAATATTTTGTTCAAAAAACAATTATTCATTACAATCTTACTAAAGGATCTAACGTAAAGGTTTACAAGGGTACAATGTGAGTTGAATATAAACTTAGTAAATGGAGAACCATTTGAGATACGTTTCCAGTTTCCAGGAACTGAAATCGTTTCAAATAATGTTAGGTCAGTTTTTAAAAAGAAATGCAGGGGGAGAAATAAAAAATAGGAATTAACTTGCAAGATTTTTACCCTTAACATTTTTCCTAAACAAGATTCATTAAATTTTATTTTTATATTTATTTAGGTTAAATCTGGTATTCTCTGTGTTCTTGTTTATCATGGAGCTGGAGCAAGGGATGTTCTTGTTGTTATCATCATCTATCATTGTTTTCATCTGGAGCTTTTCTGGGCCGATGGATTAAATTAATTACTTATGGATTGTCTAATGATTTATCAAATGAGAGATTCGACCCAATTGAAGTCCATAACTAATTTGATATCAGTCAAAGGAAAATTGTAAAAATACTAGTCAGATTAAGCGCTTAATCCCTTCAAATCAACATTCATTAGTTCCAGAGGATTTTTAAGCCCCAATGGGTTTTTAGCAAAATAAATTAAGAAACCCCCCCCCCTGGATAAATTCATCTAAACACCCCTAATTTAGTAGACATATTTTTATTTTCTAAACTTTTGAATATCTGCCTTTTTATAAACTGCACTGTTGATAAAAATTTTAACTAATGAATGAGATGGGAATGATAGGTGGGATATAATGCCAGGCATAGGACGTGACGTGATAGGGTGGGATATAATTCCAAGCATAGGACGTGATAGGGTGGGATATAATGCCAGGCATAGAACGTGATAGGGTGGGATATAATTCCAGGCATAGGACGTGATTGGGTGGGATATAATTCCAGGCATAGGACGTGATAGGGTGGGATATAATGCCAGGCATAGGACGTGATAGGGTGGGATATAATGCCAGGCATAGGGTGGAATAAAAGATAAGACAGGAAAGGAAATAAAAATTTCAAAATAGGACAAGAAAAGACAAAATAGGACAAGAAAAGACAAAATAGGACAAGAAAAGACAAAATAGGACAAGAAAAGACAAAATAGGACAAGAAAAGACAAAATAGGACAAGAAAAGACAAAATAGGACAAGAAAAGACAAAATAGGACAAGAAAAGACAAAATAGGACAAGAAAAGACAAAATAGGACAAGAAAAGACAAAATAGGACAAGAAAAGACAAAATAGGACAAGAAAAGACAAAATAGGACAAGAAAAGACAAAATAGGACAAGAAAAGACAAAATAGGACAAGAAAAGACAAAATAGGACAAGAACAGACAAAATAGGACAAGAACAGACAAAATAGGACAAGAACAGACAAAATAGGACAAGAAAAAAGAAAAAAATGAAATGAAAATTACAGGAAAAGACGGGAAATGACTGGACATGACTTGACATGACTGGACATGACTGGACAAGACTGGACATGGCTGGACAGGACTGGACATGACTGGATATGACTGGACATGACTGGACATGACTGGACAAGACTGGACAAGACTGGACAAGACTGGACAAGACTGGACATGACTGGACAAGACTGGACATGACTGGACATGACTGGACATGACTGGACATGACTGGACATGACTGGACATGACTGGACAAGATGAACCGCAGTTAATTTTAAGATTGTTAACACTAACTATATCCTGATTATCTCTGAATAAGAACATGTTGATTAAAGGAAATCTAGTGCTAGAGAGATGTCCCGCTATGACGTCATCATAACAACTTATGGGGTCATCTTATCCGAGGTCAAGGCAGAGCTAGGAGATGCATTCAAGGTATTATTATTTAAAACATGAAAGTTGTAACAACATGGTTTTTGACCAGTAAAATGTTTTTATGAGTTCTAAAACTGAATAATCTAAATCAAAATTTTAAAATTTGTTTACTTTAACCAAAGACATCAAGATATATCCTAGATAAAACAAAACATTACTCATATGACCCGCTCAAAATATGGCAAATGTAAAAAGTTTGCATATTAGTCCTGAAATTGTTAATATGTTTTTATTAACCTTTCATTTACATTAAAAAACTGTGAATTATCAAAAATAAATGAGATATCTATGTTATAAACTTATAATCATTAAAAATTAAATATTTCAGTTGATTTTTTTGAGTAAGTTACATAAGGACTTCTGGAATAGAAATAATGGCGGAAAACATCATGATGAAACAGTTTTCAATCTAGAAATTTGACAATATTTTCCACACTGATCATTTTTTAATTAAGGAACCCAAGAAGCTGGAAGCTATGGTAGCTGCTGCATATAATTATTAATTAAGGAACCCAAGAAGCTGGAAGCTACGGTAGCTGCTGATGAGATATAATTATTAATTAAGGAACCCAAGAATCTGGAAGCTATGGTAGCTGCTGTATATAATTATTAATTAAGGAACCCAAGAAGCTGGTAGGTATGGTAGCTGCTGTATATAATCATTAATTAAAGAACCCAAGAAGCTGGAAGCTATGGTAGCTGCTGTATATAATTATTAATTAAGAAACCCAAGAAGCTGGAAGCTATGGTAGCTGCTGTATATAATTATTAATTAATGAACCCAAGAAGCTGGATGTTATGTTAGCTGCTGTATATAATTATTAAGGAACCCAAGAACTATGCTATGCTATGGTAGCTGCTGTATATAATTATTAATTAAGGAACCCAAGAAGCTGGATGCTATGGTAGCTGCTGATGAGATATAATTATTAATTAAGTAACCCAAGAAGCTGGAAGCTATGGTTGCTAATGTATATAATTAATAATTAGTAATTCAAGAAGCTGGAAGCTATGGTAGCTGCTATGCAATATAATTATTAATTAAGGAACCCAAGACGCTGGGAGCTATGGTGGCTGCTGTATATAATTAATAATAAGGTAACCCAAGAAGCTGGAAGCTATGGTAGCTGCTGTATATAATAATTAATTAAGGAACCCAAGAAGCTGGAAGCTATGATAGCTGCTGTATATAATAATTAATGAAGGAACCCAAGAAGCTGGAAGCTATGGTAGCTGTTGTATATAATTATTAATTAAGGAACCCAAGAAGCTGTAAGCTATGGTAGCTGCTGTATATAATTATTAATTAATGAACCCAAGAAGCTGGAAGCTATGGTAGCTGCTGTATATAATTATTAGTTAAGGAACCCAAGAAGCTGGAAGCTATGGTAGATGCTATGAAATATAATTATTAATTAAGGAACCCAAGACGCTGGGAGCTGTGGTCGCTGCTTATGAGACATAATTAATAATTAAGAAACCCAAGAAGCTGGAAGCTTTGGAAGCTGCAGTATATAATTATCAATTAAGGAACCCAGGAAGCTGGAAGCTTTCGGAGCTGCTGATGAGATATAATTATTAATTAAGGAACTCAAAAAGCTGAAAGCTATGGTAGCTGCTTATGAGATATAATTATTAATAAAGGAACCCAAGAAGCTGGAAGCTATGGTAGCTGCTGATGAGATATAATTAATAATTCAGGAACCCAAGAAGTTGGATGCTATGGTAGCTGCTGTATATAATTATTAATTAAGGAACCCAAGAAGTTGGAAGCTATGGTAGCTGCTGATGAGATGGAGGTTAAGAAGGGGAAAATCCTCTCCCTGGCCTTTGAGAGGATTATATTAGATGAAGCGCACACCATCAGGTATTACCAGCATCCCTCTTTTCATTATTATTATTATCAAAGGACAACCTTGCATACAATAAAATAGGAGTGAGCGCATCTAGCAGACAAAACTTATTTATGGCCAACGTGGTCCGCTAAGTCCCCTTGAAAAAAGAAGTCTGTTCAAGACAGCTCCATTTTAGTTTTTTTTTAAATCTGGGAATCCTTTAATCTTCAAAAATTTAGGAATATAATAGTTTTATTAAAATCAGGGGAAATTGTAGTAAGTAGTGTGTCCCTCACTTTTTGATAGATTGATTGATAGATTGATTGATCGATTGATTACCAATACTTTCTTTACAAACTCTACTTCATCGGCCATTATGTTAGGAACTTTTTAGGTGGGAATATCGCTTAAGTATAACTTTTTAGTAAAATAAATCAATATAAAGCTAGAACTTGTATATATTATTTAAAATTCTTTGTATTCAGTCAGATATAGTTTTATCCATTTCGTTCAGAGTCTATTTAGGTTTATAATGAAAATATTGAATATTATCTTTTAGGTTTATAATGAAAATATAGAATATTATTTTATCTTTTTGGTTTATAATGAAAATATTTTATCTTTTAGGTTCATAATGAAAATATTGAATATAATTTTATCTTTTTGGTTTATAATGAAAATATAGAATATTATTTTATCTTTTTGGTTTATAATGAAAATATTGAATATTATTTTATCTTTTAGGTTCATAATGAAAATATTGAATATAATTTTATCTTTTTGGTTTATAATGAAAATATTGAATATTATTTTAGTTTTTAGGTTAATAATGAAAATATTGAATATTATCTTTTAGGTTTTTATTGAAAATATTGAATATTATCTTTTAGGTTTACAAAGAAAATATTGAATATTATTTTATCTTTTAGGATTATAATAAAAATATAGAATATTTTCTTATTGGTTTACAATGAAAATATTAAATATTTTTTATCTTTTAGGTTTACAATGACAATATTGAATATTATATTTTTGGTTTACAATGATAATATTGAATATTATTTTATCATTTAGGTTTATAATGAAAATATTGAATATTATCTTTTTGGTTTACAATGAAAATATTGAATATTATCTGTTAGGTTTACAATGAAAATATTGAATATTTTTTTATCTTTTAGGTTTACAATGACAATATTGAATATTATATCATATCTGTTCGGTTCTATAGTAGTAAAGCTATCGTGTAAGAATTCCCATTATTACACGGTTCAGGAGGAACAATTTTAATATTGTTCGCTTCCTTGCGTTTAAGAATGCTTTTAGAAATTGGTTAACAAACAAACTAAACTAAGGAAACAATCACACCACATGTATTACTTTCAAATTAAGCACCAATGTTTACTTTTAAAATGTTTTTTTTTTAACATTTTAGCATTAGAAAAATAAAAACCGTGATAGTCAGAACAAGAGCATAAAACTTATTTGCAACCTTTCATTATGTGAACTGTTCCAACTTGAAATAATCGGATTTCACTAGAATTATTTTATAGTATAATTTCTTGGGTATGTGCCCATGGAACCTCACAAATATGATATAATATTAATCTTATGAGGATAAAAATGTAACAATGGAATTCTTAAACTCGATGAAATAATCTTGATGCATTCTTTAACTCATGCCTGCGGCCTTCGTTAAAAAATACATCAAGATTATTTCATCTCGTTTAAGAATTTCCATTATTACATTTTTTCCTCATAAGATTATCATAATATCTTTTAGGTTTACAATGATAATATTAAATATTATTTTATCATTTAGGTACATATTGAAAATATTGAATATTATCCTTTTGGTTTACAATGAAAATATTTAATATTATTTTATCTTTTAGGAACCCGAAGAGTCTTCAATCTCAAGCTGTCTGCAAACTAAAGGCTGCAAGGAGGTGGTGTGTGACTGGAACACCAATACAGAATAAAGAACTGGACATGTACTCCCTTATTAGGTTAGTTCACAGGGACATCTATAAGGAGGGAAGTTACAGCTTTGTAACTTAATATATATTGTCAAAATAGTTGAAATGTCTGCTTTGCCCGTGGAATTAAAGAAACACTTGGGGGAAAAAATCAAATATTAAAATAAATTACGATTATTGAATAACAAAAAAAAAATTCAGCCAACTTGGTTTAGCCGTTTGGCCAGCTACAGCAAACATTTATATATATATAATATATTAATATATATTTACAAATATATAATATATATGAGCGAAGAGCTTTAGTATAAAGATAGATAAAAAAACAAAGATCCACTGTTCAAATTCCTTGCTTGAGCAGTAGGACAGACAACTACTGTTTGCTGTCAGTTGTTCATTCACAATTTAAAACATATCATAATATTTAATTTAATAATAAATTGACTATAGCAACTAAAAATATTTTTCCACAAGTGTTAAAAACTAATTCTTGTTTAGAATGGGACCTTTTAACGTGACATTAAGCAATATTATATGTATTTTGTTTTAATTAAATAGTGTTACGAGTAGCTTGGAAAATAAAATAAATATTTATGTGTACAGTGTACACTGCACAATTGTTTTCTTCAATGTTCATTGGACTAAAATCATAACTAAAGCTGTTTATTATCAGGTTCCTACGCTGCGCACCGTTTGACGAGTACATGGTTTGGAAAAGATGGGTTGAAAACAAATCTGTTCAGTCTACAGAGAGGATGAATACTTTGATCAAATCCTTACTACTCAGGAGAACTAAGGTATTTGTTTATTTATTGATTTATTGATTTATTCACTCTTTGAGCATTTTCATCTTTATTCATCCTTTCATTAAATAATTTCACATGAAAATCAAATTATATACTTTTCTCAAGTTTTTATAAATTTCAAAACATATTTAGTATTTACAATACTTGAGACGTGGGGGCCAGGGGCTGTTTAACAATGGAGAGTCAGTGCTAGCAATGATGCTGACTTGAATTTATTAATCATTTTATTCATTTAACATTTTTTTATCCCTTTATCCCTTCAGTCAAATCTTCAGTTATTCCTTCATTTATCATGTTCATCTTTATTCATTCTTTTATGTTTGGAAAAGATGGGTTGAAAACAAATCTGTTCAGTCTACAGAGAGGATGAATACTTTGATCAAATCCTTACTACTCAGGAGAACTAAGGTATTCGTTTATTTATTGATTTATTGATTTATTCACTCCTTGAGCATTTTCATCTTTATTCATCCTTTCATTAAATAATTTCACATGAAAATCAAATTATAGGAAGAGACTAGAAGACCAACCCAGCTAGGGAACCCAAGGCAAGGGTCAAGGTCGCCCACCCAAATCAGTGAATCAGCAAGTTGGGGGGCACAAGAGGAAGACCAGGTCAGGGGACACAACAGAGGGATTGGAAGAACAAAATCCCAGCAAGAAATAAACCCACATGATAAACTTAAAGTCCTCTATGCTAATGTACAAAGTATTCAAAGTAAACTTAATGAACTTTCCTGTACCCTAAATGAAATTGATCCTGATATTGTGATTTTAACAGAAACATGGTGCAATAGTAATATATCAAGTGACATTCTTCAAATACCTGGCTATACTATTGAAGAATCGCTAAGAAAGGATAGACAGGACACAGTGAATGGAATTGGTGGTGGTATCATTGTTTATGTTAGGCTAGGCCTAACGGTTTTATCTACTGACAACTTTAACTCTGATTTTAATCAATACTGTAGTTTTAATGTTTTGACAAGTGAAAGTGGTAGTGAATCAATAAATATCATAGCTGTTTACAGATCCCCAAACTCTAGCAACAGTAACTCAAGCAAACTATGTGAATTAGTAAGAAACATGAATAACAATTCAGTAATGATTGGTGACATAAACCTTCCAAAGATAGACTGGGAAAATCTTTCTTCAGATCTTAAGGGAAGAGAATTTCTAGAAGCAACACAGACCAACTTTTTAAGCCAAATGATAACGTTTCCCACACACTCAAAAGGTAATACACTTGATTTATTATTGACTAAAAAGCCTGAAAAAGTAGCAAGTATAACTGACATTGGTCCCATTGGGAGAAGTGATCACACTGCAATTTTGGTAGAATTTCATCATAAAAGCATTTCTAACAAATCAGTCCAGTATGTTTATGATTGGTCTAAAGCAGACGAACAAGCATTGTTAGAGGACATGAAGCATATAAACTGGACTGCCGAGCTCTCTAGTCTAAATGCCGAGGAATCTTGGGATAAACTCGCAGAGAAAATAAAGGAAGCTACTGACAAACATGTACCAAAGAAGAACAGACGTTCAAACTTTAAACCATTGTGGATGAACAGGAAAGTTTTACAAGAGAGCAGAAGAAAACAGAGACTGTACAACAAGTTTAAAGAGTCAAAATCACCAGCTAATCAGAAGAACTACAAAGATTCAGTAAAAAAGGTAAAAAACTTGGTAAAAAATGCAAAAAAGAATTTTGAGAAAAAACTAGCTTGTCAAAAAAAAAGTAATATCAGGCAGTTCAGCAGTTATGTAAAGAGTAGAACCAGAGCTGAAAACTTTAGAATGGTGGATATCAGGATTAAGGCTTAAACCACTCTTTTTCTTAATATCCAGTTTAAATATTGCTTGTTCTCCACATGAATTTAAACTCCAGAGAAGCTAATCGATCGGAAAAATGGATATTTCATTCTAAAGTTTTCAGCTCAGGTCCAAAACTGGGATTGGTCCTCTCAGGAATGACAATGGTGACTTAGTAACAAATGATAATGAAATGGCAAACATTTTGAATTCCTGATTTGCAAGGATTTTTACTCAGGATAATGGTGTTGATGGTCCACCACCTGTCAAACATGTACTCTGTAATCAACTAAACTCACTTATATTTACAAAGGAGGTTATCGTGGAAAAAATTATAAAATTAAAACCTACTTCAGCTCCAGGAAATGATGAAATAACTGTTAAACAAATTCAAGTAATGAGCCACCTGATATGTAAACCATTGGAAATAATCTTCAACAAATCAATTGAATCTGGAATAGTTCCTTTAAGCTGGCGGGAGGCTATTGTCACCCCAATATTTAAAAAAGGTGATAAATCAATTGCATCCAATTACAGACCTGTGTCCCTGACCAGTATTTGTGGAAAAATAATGGAATCCATCATTCGAGACAAGCTTGTTGAACATTTAACATCACAGAAGTTGTTATTCAACAACCAACATGGTTTTCTTAAGAATAAATCTTGCTTAACCAACTTGTTGGAATTTATGGAATTTCTCACATCCAAATATGATGATGGCAATGCTCTGGACATAATCTATCTTGATTTCTCTAAAGCCTTTGATAAAGTACCTAAAAATAAATTGTTGAAGAAAGCCGAAACATTGGGTATTTCTGGAAATGTACTGAATTGGTTGAAAAATTTGGTCTCAGAACTGGGGTATGGAATTTAATATTCCCAAATGTAAGGTTCTACATGTTGGCAGAAATAATAATAATTACACCTATTACATGAATGGTTCAATGGTGATGTTACGCAACTACGGGCTATATATGTAAAAAGAACCTTGTGGTATTTTGCGATGGTTTGTCGTAACTTTCGTCTGCTCTCTTCATGTTGAATAATTCAATATGGAACTCAGGATTTATTCAGTACAGCAGGAAAAAATTCAACTAAAAAACATAATCCTAAGTCCCTTTTTTATATTTTACTACAGGAAAAAGCCCTCACAATAAGCAAAACGTATAATCAGAGAAGAAATACAATAAATACACAAAACAAACTCAATAGGGCATAAAAAACCTGTAGATTTTACATTATTCTAAATACTCCTTTAATAAATGTATCATAAAAAAACATACCAGGTTGCGCCTCCACAAAATATCACGTGAACAAAAAGATCAAAAAATAACGACAAATGACGCCATTAAAAATCAAAAAACCAACTGGTATAAAATCCGACTCGTATGAACTAAAGTGTACAGAGAATATAAACACAACTAAAACTAGTTCTGTCCGGCTTTCTTCTTAGGCCGGTCTTGCATACACAGTACGAATCTCAGGGGCGCCGCAGTACTCCGAGGGAACACAACGTCAGGGGTGAACTATCCTTTCATTATATACGAGACCCTTGGTCGCGTAACACTCCCCACCAAAGAGAAAAAAGTTCAGTTGCACCCCGCGACTGGCTTCTAAAACTCCTAGTTTATCATCACTTAAACCTGAAAAAAAGTCACTAAGATCAATTTCCTTATAGGAGGCTAACACAAGCGTCTTTATCACTTAAACTTCAATCTCCTCCACCTCCTTAGAAATCTCAAACTCAAAATCCATATCATCATAAGCTAACTCGCCACTCCCCTCCATGAGCTCATCATAAGTTCTCACTCTCACATTCCTGGAAACCTTCGGAGCACTAGACAGTCTCTTCTTCTTGGGAACAGGACCCTGAACATTCAACTCCATTGACTCCACAGGTAAACCTGAACTCAGAGCCGACCCAACAGGCTCCTCCAGATCATCCTCATTAAGGATGACAACATCTTCCATCTCCGCATCCTCATGAAGCCCGTCATCCTGGTCCACGAACCCACTCCTTGCTCCAGGTACTCCTGGATCAGGCTGGGATGCAGACTGGATTGACGCTGCAATACTAACAGGACCAACTCTTGCAAGTTTTCTCAAGCTCTTACTCTTCACCTTCTCATCTCCAACCTTGGACCGAGACACGCTCCTTGCTCTCTTCCTACCACCTCTAAGTTTCCAACCAGGTAGAACAGGGACCTCCACAGTCCACCTAGTCCTCTCCTTGAAAGTCCAATCCTTACTCAGATCAGGCAGGTACTCCACTCTCTGTTCCCTAACTCCAACCACAGCCCTAGCTCTCTCCAACCCTTTTGTCTCCACCTCAAGTGACTTCCTCACGGTATTGTTCAGCTGCACCTCCACCTTCTTAGCTCTAGGAGCATCCTCATCACACATCCTCCTATAACATAATCTCATTGCATCATACATGTTGGCATAATGAGTCTGGAACCACGGATCTCGAATCATCCTCGCGAAGAAACCTCTTAATCGATCAGGGTTCATTCTGGCCCACTCTACCAAAGACCATCTCTGACACCGACCTATCTCAGTGCACCTTCTCCCGATTTCACATGGTTTAGTGGAGCTGATATCAAACTCCAGTAGGGGAACCCTCACTCCTTCAGGACCAACCATTCTCCATATCTCTGACACAGGTTCTCTCCAGGTTTGATCTCCGATCTCCTTCAGAGATAACCCAAACCTGGAATACTCCCGATCATCCTCCCTGAGATCTCTTAAAACTCTACCACCAGACCACTGGATCTGAGCTCTAGCAAGAACTTGGATCTGGGTTAAGAACCATCATCTGCATTGGATCATAAACCTGCATCCTCCGAACGTTACTGATGGCCAGGGACCTAGAAGCTCCAACCATAGCTTAACAAAGGGTGGAGACACATCACACAGTTTCCCTTTATCATCCCTGAACCGTAAAGATCTGATCATATCCTCCCTTGTCAGAGCTAAATCCTCCACCGTCTGGTGATAACTCACTCCTTCTAGACTCTGCAGGACGAACTCTAGGAACCAATTTACTCCAGTAATCTGACTACATTCCAGGAACCTGCACACTACATCAGGGTCAGGGAACATGTCTCTCAAAAGCAAGCCAGCCAACACATTGTAAGTCACAAATCCAAACTTGATATCACCCAACGCATAACATTGTAGGGCCTCTGGAATCCTACTCCACCCCAATCTCCACAGATTATCACCCATTGACACCGTCTTGTTCGACAACGTCCCCATGACCTGCACCCCCATGGCTGTCAGGTTCTTGGAGTGGAACTTGTAACCGGCTAGGGTTGCTAACGTAGTGAGATCCAAAAAACCTCTCTCCAGACTGACATCCTCACCAGAGACCAAAGAATAAAACTCCTCTATTCCCTGTAAATCTCTCCGGACTGCAAGACCGGCAGCAACAGGGAGGTCACGTAGCAAATCTAAAATCTCTGGTTGGTCTCCGTCTCCTTTACAAGGTACCAGTATCTCTCATCCCATTTCTTGCCTCCTAAAGGTCCCCCATAAGATAGCTGTTAATCCAGATATATGGCTTACCAGGGTCCAAGACATCAGCCTAAGAACCACTCGTCAATCTGACAACTATATGAATCTACAAATAAAACAATGCAAAGGTGAAATTCGAAGGAAATTTTTCAGCAATCGAGTTGTCCAACCATGGAATAATTTACCTGCAACTATTCAGAATGCCAAGAATGTAGACAGTATCAAAAGAATGTACGATGAACATGTGAAAATGTGAATGATATGAACAATGATGGCCAGAACTATAGTGAACTAAAATCATTTACAGTTAAATCAAGAAATTCTCATTATACTCCAATAGGAGTCCTGAGAATCAATACCACATAAACATAAGCATAAACATATATTTTTCTCAAGTATATATAAATTTCAAAACATATTTACAATATTTGAGACGTGGGGGCCAGGGGCTGTTTAACAATGGAGAGTCAGTGCTAGCAATGATGCTGACTTGAATTTATTAATCCTTTTATTCATTTAACATTTTTTTATCCCTTTATCCCTTCAGTCAAATCTTCAGTTATTCCTTCATTTATCATGTTCATCTTTATTCATTCTTTTATTCATTAATTCATTCATTCATTCATTCATTCATTAATTAATTCATTCATCCTTTCATTCAATAATGTATTCATCCTTTCATTCATTAATGTATTCATCCTTTCATTCATTAATGTATTCATCCTTTCATTCATTAATGTATTCATCCTTTCATTCATTTAACCTTTTTTATCCCTTCACCCCTTCATTTATATCTTTATTTATTAATGTATTTATCCTCTCATTCATGCAAACTTGTGAATGAGACATTCCTAAAGTATTAATTTAGCTGGATTTGATGCATTCTTACAATCACATACCTTTCTCACTAGATCAAGAAAATGCCTAACATATTTTTTGCCATTACTTCAGTGAAAATCTTATAAGAGAAATTTGATTTTTTTTTCAGAAATGAGGAGAAAATCTTTATACCTAATACCCATTACCTATGGTTCCACACAAAATTAATTGAATTTGATTGAAGCTTTAACATATTAGCAAATTTTTTATTTTATGTTGTAGGATCAGAAGAGTAATTTGACTGGGAAGAGTCTGGTCAACCTGCCAGACAAGAATATGATTTTACACGAGATAACGCTGTCTGAACAGGAGAAGGAGGTCTATTCAGAGGTATTTATTTTCAGTCATATCTATATATACAGTTATAATCTCTGTTTGTTTGTTTTGATGTCCGATCATAACTCGATCGAACCCCTGGACCGATTTGCCTCAAAATTTGATTGGAGAACCGCGGGAATGTTCTTAGCTTGGTTTTCAGATTCTAAGTTATGTGTGTTGACTTTTATATATGCACAAATAGCTAAATTCCTTATTTACGACCAAGTGCGGATAAACGGCTGGAGAAACTATGAGTAACCTGGGCAACGCTGGGTTCCCAGGCTAGTTCTTGATAAAGCGGAATTTCTTTACCTTTTAGAAAGACTTGAAAGTCGTCTTCGACCTTTCAAATAGTTTGCGCCATTTATTCTACAACAATATTTTCATGAAACAATTATCTCGAAATAACTCTAATCATACCATTTACAAAATATGGTCTGCCATGTTTGTGCATTCAAAATTGCCAAAGGTGAAGTTTTTATACATACACTCTGTAATCAACTAAACT